CACCGCTCCATCCCCCGCGACCCGGCCGACCTGTGCCACAGCCGCAAGTTCAGCGCGGCGTGCAACTTCAGCAACATCCTCGTCAACCAGGAGAGGCTCAACATCAACACGGCCACGGAGGAGGAGCTGATGACCCTGCCCGGGGTCACCCGAGTGGTGGCCCAGAACATCGTGGAGTACCGCGAGTACATCGGCGGCTTCAAGAAAGTGGAGGACCTGGCGCTGGTGAGCGGGGTGGGGGCGGCCAAGCTGGAGCAGGTGAAGTTCGAGATCTGCGTGAGCAGCAAGGGCAGCTCGGCGCAGCACTCGCCCAGCTCCGTGCGCAAGGACCCTGCCTCTGAGCACCACCTGTCCGCCACCAAGATCAACATCAATACGGCCACCCCGGCACAGCTCATGAGCATCCGTGGCATCACTGAGAAGATCGCCAACAGCATTGTGGACTACCGTAAAGAGCACGGGCCCTTCAAAAGTATCGAGGACCTGGTGAGGATGGACTGCATCAATTCCTCCTTTCTGGACAAAATCAGGCACCAGATTTTTGCAGAGCGCTCCAGGCCCCCTTCAACAAATACCAACGGTGGCCTCAGCTTCATGGCCAAGCCTCACCCCAGCCCCACCTCTCTAAGTCTCCAGAGTGAGGACTTGGACTTTCCTCCCGGGGGTCCAACCCAGATCATATCCACTCGCCCCTCTGTGGAGATGTTTGGGGGGGTGAGGGACGGCAGACCCGTCTTCAGGGTGGCTACGTGGAACCTGCAAAGCTGCTCCATGGAGAAGGCCAACAACCCCGGCGTGCGGGAGGTCGTGTGCATGACACTGCTGGAGAACAGGTAAGAGGCAGTACCTGACCTGTAGGCCCAGCTCCACGCAGGATTGTAGGCTCCTGCCTTTGAGGTTTGGGCACTGTAGAGTCTTGTTGTGATCCTAGTGGGACTGACTCCTTCCCGGGATTACTAAGTGTTTCCCACTTCTTGCATGAAACTGTGATTGAGTCATAACGCTGGGACTGTAGTGTCTGTCCCTCCATAAAGCTGCTGTAACCCTCGATAGGCACTGGAGCTCCTGAGGAGGAGTATGTGTGTGTACACACAGCTGTGCAGGGGAGACTGGCCTGTCACAGTCACCTCAGGCCTGTTAATGGTTGGTCAAGGATTGTTTCTCCATTAAGAGCCTTTTGAACAGGTCATGGAGAGCTGCCTTTCCTGCCAGCAGCTGGGGGGCAGTAGCAGGAGAAGGGCTGTGTAACAGGTGTGGAATGCCACAGCTCGTCCCGTCCCGCAAGGGTGACACCGCTTCTTAATGAGTGGTCATGGGGCATCTCCTGAGCTGGAGGGACTGCTCATCCTTGGGGATGTGAGACATGGACACCTGCCTGGGGAGGCTGTGCTGTCCTTGTGCCAGGCTTTGTGCCCTGACCGCACTGAGTGCATGGTGGTGTGGCAAACAGGACGGTACTTCAGGTGCTAATGCAAAGCTGGAAGTTTGGATTTTGGTTTTTTGTGTGTAATTGGTCAAGGGTGCTGGGGATGACTGTCTTACTAAACTTTCTGCTGGACACAGAAATGCAGATTGCAATAAGCGTTTTGAAATAACTCTAGCCCTTTCCTTTTCATGTGTCAAATCTGCCCCAGCTGATCTGGCATTTAGTTTACAACAGAGGTAAAGTTACTTTTCTCTCTGGCTCTGACTCAGACTTCCAGCAGGAAATGAACAGGGGCAGGGGACTCTTGGGCTTCTGCAAAAGGGATGTTGTGGGGAGGGGAAGTGCTCATGAGCTGTTATCTCTGTCCTTTTCCAATAATATGCTGAATAACAGCTCTTGTCAGTGTGGCTGTGGAGGTCAGGCATGCAAGCAGGATGGTGGCAGTGATATGAAATCCTGTGCTGCAGTACAGTATTTGTGGCCAGGGATACCTCTGCTGTGCACTGCTTGGGAGCCTGGTGCTCCCACATAGGAAACATCTGTCATCTCACAGCCACCACTGTCTGATACCCAAAATGAAGATGATAAACCAGCAGGGTTATTGAGATGTTACACTGATGGCTTCAGCCTAACATCTGTCAATATTCTGCTTCACTAGTTCAGGTATCCTGTGCTTCCCCCTTTGTCTCCACTTTCTCTTGCTATTTTTTTTTTTGTGTGTGTGTGTGTGTGTTTTTTGGTTTTTTTTTTTGGTTTTTTTTTGGAGGTTTTTTTTGGTAAGCAGCTGGAGTGGAGCTGAGCTGCTAGGGATAGAAACTCAGATTATCTCTAGTCCCATAATAATTCTAATAATCCAGTTTTGAAGAAAAGTGAGTTTGGTGATTTATTTCTATTTTCTATATACATAAATAAGGGATTTTTAAGGACTAACTGTCACTTCTGCAGCTTCAGCATTTTTGGGGGAAAAGCTCCAAACAAGATGACCCACCTATTACAAAAACCAGGAAGATGTAGTGGCTTATAAAATAAAGCTATCTTAGCCCAAGCTGGCCACTGTGTGTGCAGAGTGGAAATTAGTTTAATTTTTGCCCTGAGACTGCATGGTGCTTAGTTTCTGTGCAGCCTAGCCAACAGGCACTTAGTTGTGCTGGGTGCTGTAAAATGTCTCCTGGATACTTTGAAGTTTCAAAGGAGCCTGGTAGAAGTGCTTGTTTTTGTTCTCTTCTATTGCACATATCTGTGTCATCAATCACACAGGGTGAGTGCGATGCAATTGTTTTCTGTACTTGATCCAATTTGTGATAACGTGAGAAGCTGGAAAGAAATGAGAGCAATGTGTATCCACAGACAAGCCTGCAAAACTTTCCTGGGAAAATAAATGTGGGAACAGAAAAGAGCAGCACTAGGCAGGAAAAATATATACATTGGGAAAAGCCATACTCAGCAACTCAGGGAGGAATTTCCTCTTGCTTGTGTGAGCATTGATGGGGTCAGGGGAGCTTTGTAGCTGTAAAACAGCCTCAGCTGAGGCCAGAATCTGCCTGCATTCTGCTTTTGAGCTCTGTGGTCTCACTCCCAGCTCAGGTTGTGTACCCTGGGAATGGACAGAATGCCCTGCAAACTAATCTTTGCCCAGCTAAATCAACTTCAGTAGACAGTCAGCTGGAGAAATTCACCTCTTGCTTCTCCAGGCAAGAATATATCTCTGCACGGGGCTCACCAGCTTTCAGCCTCACAAAATCCGTGGGTGTGTTTTCAAGGTGCTCTGTGGATGTCCCACGTGTGTTGCTCAAGTCTCCAGCTGTGACCCAAGCTGGAGGTGGATCTGAAGGCTCTTTGGCCTGACAGTAGGTGCTCTCATGTGCTGTGCTTGCTGCTGCCCATTCCTGATGTGCAGGAATAAGTGTGCTCCATCATGCTGGTTCCTTACAGTCAGGGCTGGGCTCAGGTCATCCAGGATGCTCTCAGGAGCTGGAGTACTGTCTTGTTGCAGCTGGAGGAGCTGCCTCACCTTAAGTCCAGAAATAAAGAACAAGTCAAGAAGATCAGTAAAACTGTGTAAAGAGAAGCAAAGAATCTAAATTTTATGAACTGCGGTCTTTTATGCCAGTTAAAAGGCTTGCTTTGGGGTTTGCTTTTTAAAAATTTGTTGGTTGGGGTTTTTTTGTGTTTTAATGACATGGTCACAGCAAGTAGCTTTAAAACCCCTTGGGGCTGTTCTTTCAGGTGTTAACCACAGTACTGCTTCTTTCTAGGTGAGGCTAGAAGGCTGTGCTCCTCCTGTCTTCCAGCCCTTTGCATTGAGGGAACAGTTGTGTAGGAAGGAAAGAGGGCCAGACTTTCATTCAAACCAAACAAAAAGCAAGAAAATGTCATATTGCAACCTGCTGAAGGGAGGAGAGGAAAGAAAAAGAACTTAATTCAAAGTCTCATGCTTGTTCCCAGAAGTGCTAAATTTCTGGAGAGTAGTGAAGGGAATGTACACTAAATCAGTAAGCATGACTACTACTGCGAAGCTATTTTGAAATTCATTGCTGTAGTGCAAAAATAATGAAATACAGCAAGGTCCTCACCCTCTTTTCTCATATTACAAGGATCTATGTTTATCACAGTGTTTGAAGTGAAGGAGTGAGGTGTTTTCATTCAGAGGACTAGAGGGTAATTTTAGAAGAGCTTAACATGATGAACGAGGAGGCGAGCATGACACATAATTGGATTGAAGTATCAAGTCTGGGGTGAGTTTGCCCAAACCTGCAGTGTTTCTTGCAGGTGTTGTTCAGAAAATCTGGGATTTATTGACAAAGAGTCAGAGTTGGCCTGTCTCTGGGGATGCAGGTCATCGCCTCTATCTGACCTCCATGTCCTCCCCATTCTCAGGGGGAATGGGGGAGCCAACTGCTTCTTCTCACCAAAAAAATAAAGGAAAATGCAGGGTTAGAGTAGCATGATTAAAAGGGCAAGTTCAGGTCCAAGGCAGTGAGTGTTTTTGTGGAGAATAAGTAGCCCCATGTTTCCAACCCCAGAAGATGTTTCCTCTGGACAAGGATGGTGGAAGCACCTCAGAACTGCCCCATACCCCAGGTCCATAGGGAAGGGTACTTTGGCCACTCCTTATCCATACCTGCCTCAGGCCTGTCCCTCCTTGCCATACACTGAGCTCGTGGCTCCTGTGAGACCCTGTCACTGCTTTCTCTGGCTGTCAGGGTGCCAGCTGGATGATCCCATGAAGAAGTGTGGCACAGGCATGAGACACTGACAGACAGGGCACCTTAGATGTGCAAATTCCAGTTAGGCTTTGTGCTTTGAAGTCTGCAAGTAGCCAAGGGCAGTGATCAGCTGTGCACCTTCCCCAGCATGGTTTTCAGTAGAGGTTTTCCAACTAGTTTTCATGATGCTTTATAACACTGAGCAGCAACTTTGTGAAGACCTCTAAACTTTTTTTTTTTCCCTTGGAAGCACACTTTGCAGTTGACTGAATGAAAATTGATAGAAGGTTTGAAGGCCAGAACTTATACTCTGTCTAAAGGAGGAAGACCATGTGTCAAGATGATGGTGGGTCCAAAGGTCCACAGAACCCAGCTCTGCTTCCTTTCAGATGTCAAGCTGTTCAAGCTGTTGTTTACTTCTGCTGCTTTCCTTGGGCAGCTTCTTGGTGTGGTTACATCTTCTACATGCAAAAAGTGTAAGTGATAAAGCCTTAACACTTGTTGCAAAAACTGCAGAACCACAGAAGAGCTCAGGTTGAAAGTGACCTCAGAATATCATCTGACCCAGCCTTTCCTGGGAAAGGGAGCCTGGATGAAATTATCTATCCCTGTGTCCAATCACACAGGCTGGAGGCTTGAAAACCTCTAGGAGGTTGTTCCAGTGATTAACTCTTTTCACTATAAAAAGAGTTATAGCCTGCATGTCTATAGAGTAACAAATACAAATAGCAGTATAAGGTTTGGACTTAGCACTGGTGTTGGTTTTTTTTTCTTTGGCATGGACAGTAAGCTTTAGGAACATGTCAGTCCTTTTTTCTTCCCAAGGTTTGTAACTGGTGAGCCGTTTTCAGTTTGGTTAGATGCACAGAGGTCTCTCAAAGACAAGAAAATAATCTCAATTTCTGTGTCTGGGACTTAAATGAGTGTTCCAGCTGGGGCAACAGTAGGTAAACCTCAGCCCAAAATTGCTTCCTGGGAGTCAGGGTGGACAGGCAGGCCCTGGGTAACCCTTGCTGTCCCACCATGCTTGAAAGTTCCTCTTCTTAGCCTTACCTACCCTAGGAGACTTTAAGCTTGTCACCTAATAAAAAGAGAAGTTTCTGAGCCAACCTCTGAAGCAGTCTCTTCCTATTAAGACATGAGGAAAACTTAATCTTGCTCAGGCCCCTGCACTAGGTGCTGGAGGCAGGAGAACCACTTTTCCC